TATCAGAACTACTGATAACACCAGTACAAAGAATACCAAGGATCATATTATTACTACAAGGTACAATATAATAATACATGTATGTGAAATTGTGAATATAAACTAGTATTTCTATATGCATAATTTACATGTACATGTACAGTAGTTAGTATGTGGGTAAAATGATTTCAGTTTTTTTGCAATGCATGCATGATAGGACATGTACATGTAGCCTTATCGCCAAAAATTTATCAATGCACCAAACTCTTATCCCCTCCACAATTACAGTGCCAACTAATGGCAGCAGTACATTGTATTATTATTATTATTATTATTTCATTATAGATTTATTAAAGCGTACTGATACTGGCCACATTGATTACAAGCAGTTGGAGGAATCAGTTGAAAAACTTAAGAATGTAATGGAGTGAGTTATACATCACTACATGTACATGTATTTTATTTATTTATTATTATTAATTCTTCTAGACACATAAATGAAGACAAGAGGAAGACAGAGAAGCAGATGCACATGTTTGAACTTATACGTGACATTGAGGACGTCCTAGTAATTAGTGGGTGTGGTCTTTAATAACTGACTCCTCCCATTTAGGCGACGGTCCTTTCATCTCATCGTTGGTTTATTTCAAGACATGATGTGTTGGAGTTAAATATTAGCAATAATGGAAAGACTAATAAACCATTGTCTATAGCATTGTTCCTCTTCTCTGACAGCATTGAGGTGAGATATAGGAAGTGTGCCATTTTTATATGCTAATTTTACCTGTACTATAGCCCATGTTTTTTTTCTGAAAAATGGCTAAAAAAATTACTCCAAATTTTTATTACATTTTCTGGTACATATTCATGTCCTTATGCTGTGTAGCAAGTTTGAGCTAATTCCGACTTCAATTTTTCGAGTTATGGCCATTTTAAGAAAATGTTAAAATTCTGAAAAATACCCTGTACTATTGGATGGTGTTATTAATTAGTGTCCCTCCCTCCCTCTCTCCTACAGATTGCTAAGATAAGAAGTGGTCATGGTTTTGTTGCTATGAAGGACTCATACAAACGATACAGGTACATGTACATGTATTTTTAGTATACATACATGTACATATACATATACATGTAATGTACGTACATGTACATGTATTACTGTTGTTCTTGTTACTATATTTAGACACTTGGAGTTTCTCACATATTCTAATATTAGATCAGTCATTGATTTCACTGACAGTGAAGGTACATGTACATGTCATATGTATACATGATATTTATTTATTTATTTGTTTGTTTATTTATTTTATTAGATGTTGTTAATGGTTTTGGTCTGTTAGTCCATTGGTCTGATGATCCTCAGGAGAGATTATTAACTTTTAAAAATAACGGAGACTCATCAATTAAAACAGAACTAATTAATAAAATATCTCAAATGATGTGTACCAGTAACTGTGCCCCATCTCCAGTGAGTGTAGGGACATTATTAAGATTAAAGCACGGGCTATAGTACAGGGGGTTTTTGGAAAATTTGACATTTTAACTGCGAAAATTAAAACCAGCCATTTTGAGCCAATACATGTACACGTATGTACATTGTACATGCTCAATGGCACATGGACACAAATTTGCCACATTAAAATTTGCCAATCATAAAAGAA